TTGTAACTGAGGGAGGAATGAGGCCTCATTCAACATAATCTACTTCCAGGCCTATTCCTAGGCCATTGCTGTTTCATCCTAAACCATCTCAACATGAAAGGGTTATTATGTCTCACCAGTGAAGTTTCGTAACAATGCAGTTTGGTAGATTTTTCAACTTTGTATACTTGAACTTCTTTAAAAAGCCTAAAAGTCTCATTCTGGCAACCTTCTCAGCAAATATTAATTCTACTACAATTTATGCTTCTCAACTGGTCTGAAGAGATTTGATTTTGTTATAGATGGTTGTAGACACCATGTGGGTACTGGGAATTGAACCCAGGTCCTTTGGAAGAACATCGAATACTCTTTTTTTTTTTTTGCTGTCAATAAGAAATTTACTTATTTTTAAAAAAATCCAAATGCTGGCATTGTCCAGAAAATTTTGACAGGTTTATTTATTTTTTTATTTTTATTTTATTTTATTTAATTTTATAAAACAAAGTCCAATTAAATGAAAACAAACATTTATACACAATATTTGGGAATTTGGGCGTCGTTCTTTCCAAACTACTTCCTGCTGGTAAGGGGTGCTGTCTTGGGGGATTCGAAGAAGATTCAGATATCCTGGCTGTGGTCTGTAGGGCTGTTTTGTCCAGCTGTTTTGAATGTAGGAACATCAAATACTCTTAACCATGAGCCATTTCTCTAGCCCCTGGTCAGAGGTTTCAATCAGACTCCTAGATGAGGGTTCTTTCTCCTACTTTCCATAGGTTCCTGGTCTTTCTGTCCTTCATCAGTACCACTATAAAGAAAACTGCAAAGCCACTGATTGACGCTATTGATTGATTCTTGAAATGTATTGTTTCTGATTAGAAATAAAAAGATGGTATTATCTGAAACAGGAAAATTTAAGAGGATGCATAATCAGCAACAGAAGAGTGTAAGTTGCAATGGGGTATTTGCATTCTATGAAAATACAAAGAGTGAAAATCTGTACAAACTCACCATGCTTCCTTTTATTTATTTTCTTCATATCAGATTCTTTCTTGTCTCAAAATCACTTCTACATACCTTAACTCCTACATGTTGTTGATGCAAAAACATAAGTCTCATGTCAAAAGAGTAAGAGATGGCTTATTCTGGAGGCAAATATTGGGTTCCAGGTCACAGATATAGGTTACCCAAATACCATTTTCAAAGGTGACAGCAGTTTATGAAATTTTTATAGTGACAGAACAAAGAAAGTTGTCAGTCAAGACACCTTTCACATATATTGGAGAGTAGGTAGATAAGGCACATTGGTTACAATTTATGTGGGAAATCATTGTTGAAGGTCCCAGATTCTGTCAATTGACATTTTTAGCATTTGGTCTGTGGAAACAAAAGAACTTGTTCATACATTCTAAAGGGACTTACCTAATTATGTCATGTTGGTGGGTACTGAATGGGTATCAGGGATGCTAAAGATAGCTCAAGAAAATTTGTAATTGGGACCTAGATGTGCAACAGTCCAACCACTCCATAATCATTGACTTTCTAATGATTATTTAGCTTTTATAGGCTAAATAATGTCATTTAGATTTTTTAGGTACAGCTTCTTTGCAGACCTTTTGCTCATAATATTAACTGTTATTTAAAAACTGTTCATAGTATTTTAAATTATGAAAAAAGTCAACCAGCCTTTTGTGAAACTTAAATGTCAACTCATTCAAATGATACCTTTTAAAAAAGTTTTTGATTTTCACAGAGCATATTGAATATATTCATGTTGTACAATTTTGAGCAAATTTAATTTGTTAAAATTTTCTTTGCAAAATGTTATTACAGTGGCCATCTTCTGGGACTTAGAATCAGCCATATTATGTAGAAGTCAACACTATATACTAATGGCATTAATTAGAATGAAATTTTGCCAGCTGGGCATTGGTGGCACATACCTTTAATTCAAGACTTGGGAGGCAAAGGCAGGCAGATCTCTGTGAGTTCGAGGCCAGCCTGGTCTACAGAGCAAGTGCCAGGACAGGCTCCAAAGCAAAACATAGAAACCCTGTCTCGAGAAAACAACAACAACCAAAAAAAAAAAAATGAAATTTTGTGTGTATTTATTACTTTTACCACTTTGGTAATTGTCTTAGTGCTAACTGAAGTCTGAGGACAACTTCCTGAAGTGTACTTTATTAACCTGAAGATTTTGTAAACAGCTGTACATGTAGATTTCTAAAACTGTGAGGATCTGTCAATCTGATGACATGTACTGTATGCCCTCCTAATCTTATTACTTAGTACTAAAGCTTAAGACAACAAGAAATTCCAATCCAGTAGCTTTTGAGTGAAGGGAATGCTACAGGAAGAGTCTGGAAAATATTACAGTAGCGTGTTTGACCCTGCTCTGCATCTGTTGGGCCAGAGAAGCTAGAGTGCCACCCTTTAAGTAAGTTAAGTGACATTTATTTGGGAAGGGGTCCACTTTTTCCAGTATGGTGCTACTACCTGATTTTGCCACAATGTGATGCTGCCAGTGGCTTTTGCCATGTGAAATAGCATGTTCAAGACTAGTGACACAAGTGAGCAAAAAGAATACAAAGTCCAAGTAAGAATTTCTTTTTTAATTAATTTCTATTTAAATTAAAAACAATCTTACTTTACATAGCTATCCCAGTTCCCTCTCCCTCCTGTCCTCCTACTCCTCCCACCCATTCCCCCATCCCACCCGCATCTACTCCTCAGGGAGAGTGAGGCCTCCCATGGGGGATCATCAAAGTCTATCACATCATTTGGGGTAGGGCCTAGCGCCGCCCCCCCCCTGGTGTATGTAGACTGAGAGAGTATCCTTCCATAGGCAATGGGCTCCCAAAGCCCATTTGTGCACTAGGGATAATATAGTACAATCACATATAATAAAACAATTAAACAAGAAATATAGTTAACAATATTTAGTCAATTAACATTATCAAGATCAATTAATTAAAGAAAGTATTCTATCATCTATCCTATCTATGTGAGTCTAAAGTCCTATATGTAACTTATCTTTAATCCTAACTAAGGAAAACTATAACCATAACTATCTGTCTTCAATTCCAACAAAGACCACAGAAGGATAATATATAAACTCTAGAAATGACAGAGATAACTCACTGCCTTGTCAGTCACCTGAGGTTCTTCTGTAATGTTCCATCTTCAGCCTATAGGCCATAGTGTGTTGGGCAGACTCCTCAGCAAAGCAGGAAACTTTAAACTGTCCACTTGTATTGGCAATTTGTCAGTCACTTTTCTCTGTTTCCTGCAGACTGTCTTGCAGACTCTTCCATGAAGCAGGAAGTCTGTAGCAATGTCCACCTTGTTTTAGCAGTCACTTTCCTATAGTTCCTGCATGTTTACTTTATAAAGCATATAGTTAAAAAGTCCAGCCAAATGGCTAGTCTTGCCATATTGGAAGTAAACTCCATAACGAGTTTCTTCGATGTCCATCTTCCTTTTTGACACAGGTGGTGTTGCCAGGAGAAGTTATGTCTCACTGTCAAGGAAAACCCTAAACTATTTTAAAAGCCATATTCTGTAGGCCTTTGAAAGGTTTGAAGAATGCTTATCCAACTCAAATACATCTCTGTATATCTAGAAATCCTAAGTAACTTAACTATAAGTTTGACTATAATAGGTAAAACTTAACTAAAGTTTTGACTATTATAGGTAACTATCAAAAATCTGTACTAAATTCTACATTACATTTCTAAATGAGCTATATAAACACAAGACCTAAACAAGAGGAGAAATATACATATCACAAAATTGACCTTAAATTTGTATCAATAAATGAAAATCCATTCCAAAATAAGGTGTTCATTTCTATACCATAATTCCATTTTTACCTTTAAAGAGATTGGTTGTGGTCATTAACCATTTATAACCAACCCCATTTAAATGAAAACAAACATTTATAAACAATATTTGGAAATTTGGGTGTCATTCTTTCCAAACTGCTTCCTGCTGGTAGGGGGCGCCTTCTTGGGGATCCTAAGAAGATGCAGAAATCCTGGATGTAGTCTGCAAGGCTGCCTTGTCCCAGCTGGTTTGAATAATGGATCACCTGTTTTAGGGTGTCTTGCTTGATCAAACAATGTTAGTCTGGAAGGAATCCACAGCTTTTAATTTTCTATGGAAACAAAAATAAAAATTCTTTTCCCCAGTAACCTGTCCATAAGACTTAAAATTTGAAGTCAACACATTTTTAAAATAAATATGTTGGATTAATTTAGCAGCATTAATAATCAAGTGTTTTTCAGCAATTTTTGTTCCTTCCTTAGCAATTGCTGTTCCTTCCACAGCAAGTTCTCAGAAAAGGTTTGCACCTCTGTGAGGGAGAGAGACTGTGCAGGTTAGTTGGGTTCCAAAGGTTTGTGCAAGATATTGTATGTCACTGGGTGAGGCTTTAAGTAGCTGTGGTTGCTAAAGTGAAGAAGTTTAGCTTTTGATTTGGTCTTTTGTCTCTATAGGTTTGGTAATCTTGCTGCCAGATATTGGCCTTGGGTGAAAATCAGAGTTCTCATTCAGAACATTCCATGACATTAGCTCAGTTTAGTGTCAGCTGCTGAATTTAGTGACTCACCCTTACTGAAATAGAAACCACTTGATTTATGGTATATTTTATTAAAAACATTCACATTCTTGTACTATACATAAGAGGTAAGATGTGTCTACCTTGTACATTTAGCCAATGTTAACAGTGTTGTGCCAGAAATTACATAGCACAAAAGTGTAGGTCAAAAGGACATTAAGTCACTGTAGCATTAAAATCAAGTTTATCAAAGTGGAACAAGGAAACATCATCAGAAAAGAAGTGGAAAATATCTATAATAGACATTTAAAAGAAACAGCAATCGCTCAAAGCTGATGGGAATGGACACTAGGAGTGGTGGATGAATAAAACCATTGTCATGGAAATGAAATAGCAGATTTGCCTGGAAGTTTCCAAGGGCCCCAGTGAGATTAGTTTCCCTCATTAATTTAAGCAACGATCCTGGCTACCACCTACGTCTAAAGATAATACTTATTTGCTTAGCCTTGTCTTTGACTTCAGTTATCAGAAGTTTTCCCCCAGTCTCATGAGCAGGAGCCATACTGATGATGAGTGATTGATAGGCAGATCCCCTGGCTAAAACTGCCTTTTTACTCAACTGGGGCATTTACTGTGCTGTCATAGAACTTACTCTGAAGTTGGACCTGTCCAATGATTTTCCTGATGGCTCTGTTCCTTTATCTTCATATTATTTTCCTTTCTTTTCTCTTCCTTTGGAACTTCCACCTTTTTTTATAGAAGAAGCCATAATAAAGAACTAGTGTTGAAACCATAATTGAAATATTTGAGTCACCATCAAACATCTGAATGGAGTGAATATAGGGATCATGTCTGTCTTGCTGCTCACTGCCATTTCTTACTATTTCCTGTGTTTAAATATTTGTGTACTATGTTTATTTTATGGAGATGATATATGTTTATTTTTTAATAAAAATATATTCAATTTGCAAAAAAAAGTCTGGTTTCTTTCCAAATAATGCCAGAACCTCAGGGAAAATTGCGTATCTTTTTTCTTACTTAATACGTGAGATATTTTTATTAATTTACATTGTGTTTGTGTGTATGTGGGTCATATGCCACAGCGTCCATGTGGAAGTTAGAGGACAGCTTGAGGCTGTTGATTCTTCTACTATGTGGGATTGAACTCAGGCTGGCCAATTTGGCTGCAGGTACATTTACCACTGACCCATCTCTCTAGCCCCAACCTATTGTTTTTTTAATTATTATTAGTATCTGTAGAAATCTTACATCTTTAGCACATGTGTTTCTTGTACAAATTGTTATTTTTAGGTTGCTACAAGTAAAGCATTTGTTTTACATTATACTCTTATTATTCACCACAGTGTTAATGTGTAGGAGACAAATATCCAAGTTTTAGGATCTTAAAATGTGATCGTTTTGTAATATTTGTTTTCCTCATTTTCTGAAAGGTTCATGGCTACCCATTTCTAAGTGTTGAAGAGAACATAACTAACTTCAGAAAGCGTGAATACCTGTTCTATTTCTCGATATCTGTTCACACAGATTTATTATGATCACCAAAGAAAAACAAAAAGAGAAAAAGGTATGGTTTCACTGTCTTTACATTCCTAGGAATTACCAGGTAGCTCAGAGTAAATCTGAATGTTGGTTAATAGTTTGTACCATAGCTCATTGTGACCTAATCCAAATTGTTGACTGCCTCTGTTTATGACCCAGATGGCTTGATGAAATATGTAGGGTTGTTCCTATTTTTTAATATTTTGTTACATGTTGATTAAATATTTGTGAAAATGTTCACTGGCATGTTGTTGACATGACTTATATATTTATCTTTCCATGTGTATGTATTTGTTACCATGTGTTGTGAAATGCCCCCCATAGGTTCATGTGTTTAAATTACTGGGTCCTCAAGTGGTGACAACTTTTGGGATTGGCTTAGAAAATTTTAGGAGGAAGAGTTGAGATTCATTGGAAACAAGTGAGTCTGTGAATGTGGGCCTTGAGATTTTGTAGCTTGCCTCCACCTCCTGCTTACTCTTTGCTTCCTGATTGTGGATATAATGTAACCATTTGGTCTCCTGCTCCTGCCTTCCCACTGTTCTGGACTGCAACCCCTTGAACTGTTAGCCAACATTACCCTTGCTTAAGTTGCTTCTTATTAGATACTTTGTCAAAGCAACTTGAAGGTAACTACAATACCATGGTTCCTGTTATTGTGGTCATGTTTTTAGAACTGTTGTTTGTTTTATCAAGTTACCCGGATCACTGAAGTAGCACATATAACCATTGCTCCCAGGGGAAATACAGGGCCAGTTTCTGATGAGTCTTAGAGGACATGGTTTTTTGTCAATTGATCAATATCTAACTTTTTTGGTTGTATGTTTTCCTTTATAAATACATTATTTAGTGTAGCAAACTAACCCATTAATTATGCATTCCCATACTGAGCTCATAGATAATTTGATTCTAACTACTAACTATAATAAAAATTATAATACTGTATTTCCTCCCTCAGTGATACTGTAAAATTTTGTACTTAAGTCTGGGAAGTATTCAAGTACTGTTCTTAGTACAACAAAGTCATAAAAAGTTAAATTAAAAACTAAAAACCTCAAAATAAAACAGCCGTGGCAACAAATAGGTTATTTTGGCCACTTATTTACACAAGAGTCAGAATAAGAAACAGGAGTAAAGGGCTAGAGACATGGCTCAGAGCTTAAGAGCACTGGCTGACTGTTCTTCCTAGAGGCCCTGAGTTAAATTCCCAGCAACATGGTGTCTCACAGCCATCTATTACAAGATCTGCTGACCTCTTTTGGCATGCAGGCATACATACATACATACATACATACATACATACATACATATATATATATATATATATATATATATTAAATAAAGCTTTAAGGAAAAAAAAAGGAGAAAACTTGAGATTAACTGATAATGCACCCATCAAATGACCTCTTTTTATTTTTTTCCTTTTAATATTTTACTTGTCATGAATGACACAAAAACATGTATTGATTTGGGGTTACCAATAAATTATAGTAAGTAAAGAGATTGACTCAAACAGAACTCATAAACAATTAAATTTGGGTATATTTATAAATATGTATATTAAGGTGACCCAGCGATTTCATGTAATGATTAAAGAAGATAAAGTTTAAATAATAAATGTCAATATAAAGCACAATTGCTAGAGTTAGATTAGTCTGAATGGCCCGATGCCTGAATGTACACCACGCTGCATTCCCCACTTTTGCGGCTAGCCACCCTTCGTGTGTTCCCATCAATCAGCCTTGTTACCTGAGTGGCTTGTTCTCTCTTGCCTTTGAGGAGACTTCCAAGGTCTGCTTTTCCTGTGTTTGCTAAGTGAGCTTTAAACATTTTGGGTGTCTCTTCCTTTGGCGGGCAAAGAAAGGCAGGTCTTGTTTGTGGAGGGATCATCTGTGGGCTCTTTCCTTTCAGGCTTAAAAGAACTCTGGAGACAAGAGAATGTTTTGAGTAGCTCTGTGACAGAAGCTGCAAATTCTCCCTAAAGAGTGGTCATTTCTCCCACCACTTTGACTTTCAGTTTTGGGGTGTATCTCATGAAGAAAATTGTAACTTACTCTATGTAACACAATTAGCCCTATCTTAAATTTTATAGATTAAAACCATCTTTCTTCACCCCTCCATATAGTATCTCACTCTAGTTCTATCTGGCTTGGGACTCTTGTCTTAGCCTTCTAAGTGCTGGGATTCTAAGTGTGCACCATCACATGTGGTCCTGCTGGGGCTTTACAGGTCGTACCTGGCTTTCTTCATGAGGAGCGTTTTACACGATGGGTAATGGCGCAGAATTTCTTGGAGAGTCTTTCTCTCCAGTATTAAAAGATTGGCAAACCCATGTGCCACCACATCAGCAGTTCGACGGTTTCCTCCCTCTTTTGCCAGGAGGCTGTGAGATAAAGAAAAACAGGTCTCCAGTCACCAGTTCGATAACACTCCGGTGACTTTTGTTTTAAATCTCAAAATTGCAAATTTAATTTTCAACTTGGTATTTTAAACTTGGTATCACATGATAAATTCTTAAGATGTTGACTTTCCTTCAACAGTAAATTCTTCCCAATGGGAAATACAGAATCTTCAGCAAACACTGTGTGTTTACCGCCTTTAATCCATGGTTCCTCTTAATTGTCAACTTGAGACGATCTAGAATCACCTGGAAAAGAGAGCCTATGAGACATTGTCTAGTGAGGGGATAATCTTGCTCATATTAATAGAGGTCAGAAGACTTGCTAATTGTGAGTGGCATCATTCTCTGAGCTGGGATTGTACTAAGAGTAGATGAAGAGGTATGTGCCACTATTCCTTGCTAAGAATAATTATAATGCTAAGAAAGGAGAGAGAAATGAATTGTGAAAAATGCTCGACTGAAGTTGTAGTACAGTTTATAATCTAAGCATTTGGGAGGCTGATGGAAAAGATCAGGTCAGCCTGGAATGCATAACAGTACACTGTCAAAGCAAAACATAACAAAACAAGAAACAATCACCAAAGCAGAAAGAAAAGGCTGGGGAAGGGACCTAAAGCAAACTTGGGCATTTCTCTGAACCTAACATTAAAGATGGGGGTTGGGGAGGGAAGGCTAAGGCTCTCCAAATCACTGAAGAGTGAAATTACCCCTCCAAGACATAGCATACATGTTTAGAATCCTTTAATGTGACTGTGTTAATGCTTGTTTACTTTAGTCAATGACTGCTTTTTCCAGAGAAGACAAAAGAAACAAATGTTACTTCATCCATCTACATATCTATACAGCATTCTATGCATACATGAGTGTATATAATCTATTTACATAGCTGTAGCTAGCTGTCATCCATCACAGTATTCATGACAATAGTGTTTTTACTAACTCATCCATACAAGTTTCTATCTGCCTTCCTGCTCCTCTATTAAGTGGGAGGACATGGGTTGGATAAGGTAGTTTCAGCCACACTCCTGTGGTTTTTAATACAGAGTAATCCAATAGTTAGGCAGGGCAGAATGTCATTGGGGAGCTTAATCTGAACCCCAGAGAACCTCTGTGAGCATGCCAAATATATGAGAAGGAATGGAAATCACATATTTAAATGTCAGGGTATTTTGAGATTTCTCAAGCTTTAATTAAACTTGCCTACAGGTTGCAAGTTTGGAGTGCTTGATGAGTTTCTGAACAGAAGAAATAGTCTGTCTGCCAGATGGATTTTGCCCAAACTCTCTCAGCAATGTTTAAAATAGCATCTTTTTCTCTTCTCATCCACAAAATGCTTCCCCAGAATGTCACTGGTGAAAAGTTTTACTCATTAAATTGCTTAGAAAGAAGGCCCCTCCCTCAATAGCCACAGCACCTTGTAGAGTTTCCCGAAAGCTCCATGCCAGAGGACAAATAACTGATGCTACAGTTAAATGTCCCCAGGTTAAAAAGATGCTTGAATTGAGCAATAGTAGAGGAAATGCTAGAATCTGTTCTAATCCTGGACCCATTACTTGTTGTGACCTTAGATAGCTTAAGGACTTTTTTTTTTTTTTTTTTTTTTTTTGATATTTCTGTTCATTCATGGAAGTTTTAAGTCCCACAATGTATTCAAGACAGTGAGAGGGAATAGAAGAGGCACATCATCAGATCATGATATCATTATGTGAGAAGGCTGCAGGATTAGGAACCAAATCATCATTTTAGATACGCATTTATGAACATATTACTAGTCGATTTTGCTGAAAACAGAACCCTCTTTTTATCTGCTACAGGAAACTGGTTATCCTTAAAGGACTGGCTTTTTGTGCTCTTGTGATATTCAGTCATGAAAAAGGCAAAATCTCTTAATGAATTCTCACCCCTAGTTTGTGATATGCAAAAAGACATAAAGTGGCCTTCAGAGATGGGTGCAGAAACTGAAGTAGTTCTTGTGAGCTTATCAAAGAGACAGTGTGTTTAGAGAAACTGTGTGAAAGTCAGCTACCAACAGACACACAGACACCCCTGTTGTTTGAAACCTTTTCTTGACATTCATGTAGTAGAAAATCATTCCTAAATTGATACATTAATACTACTTGGAAGTAGTATAGCCTATTTAGGTGCTAATGAAGTGTCGAAGGCAGGGCCTTCATTAATAGATGGAGCTCCAGCTTGGCGTGGTGCTGCACACACCTTTAATCCCAGCACTAGGGAGGCAGACAGAGCAGTGAGTTCCAGGACAGTCTGTCTACATAGTGAGTTCAAGGTTAGCCAGGGCTACCTAGTGAGAGCTTGTCTCTCTCCACCCCACCCCACCCCCACCCCAAAAAAAGAAAAGAAAATTGCTTTCTAAAGATAGCCAGCATGAATAAATATATGACACTGAGAACACTTGAGGTGATAGTAAGAAAAAAACAGGAAAAAAAAAAAATCAAAAAAACCAGTACCAGTATTTGGAGTATTTGATCCAGTCTCATCTCAGCTGTGTTATACCTGGATATTTTAGATGTTTATCAAAGGTCTTTCATGGGGAAGAAAGTAAATGTGTAAAACAATAGACTGTGATTTTTATGAGTGATGCTGGTTATAAATAAACTTTTGAAAACTTATGAATGCCTTGGTTGTCAGTATTATCACTCTATTGAATTTTTTTCTTATTAAAGTATGTAGTTTTTAAGACTTTTTTCCTGACAGTATTATGACAGTATTTCCTGACAGTATTTTTTTAGCGTGGGTAGATGGGAGTGTCCTGGTATGTTACCATACAGCTGACACATACTATTTTTCTTTATTATCTTAGTAGTTTCATGCTATATATGTATCATAACCAACCTATTGCCTAAGAGAAACATGTAAGATAATGTAATTACAGCCACTTTTACAAGTTTATAATGTATTTTTCTATCTTGTTTTATGTGCATGTTATATAGCATTCAAAAGAATTTTCTTCTTGATTGAGAAAAGGATACAAAATGCAAAATCCACAGTTTTGATAACTGAAAACAGCCAATTGTTTGTCTTGTCTTTCTTGGGCTTTTAATTAGCTGATGAATGAATACATTAGACCCGTCTGGGTTTCAGTTGGAATTTTACATAGCTTGCATATTAATTTTTGGTTGTTTGCTGATTCTATTAACTCATAGCATTATTTTAATAAATGTTATAATACCAACCTAAAAAAAAATAAAGATAGCCAACATGCTTTCTCTGTCATATGACACAGTGGCCATCTAATGATTCAAGAAAACAGTCTCAGCCGAAGCCACAACTTAGACCTCACTGCTTGGGAAGAACTTCAGAGAACTGAGAGTCAAATGATTTCTTTTCCTCAAAAGGTATTTAGGTTAGTATTTTGTAACAATAACAGAAAACAGATTAAGATGAGTATTTACATATACATATAGTACATATCCTAGCATCTTAAAATATGTGCTATGATCTTGTATGTAATAGCATGACTGAATTGAGAGGTTGTGAAAATTTGGCTAAAGGAAAAGATTTCTGATCAAACAACAATTAATTCAAAAACAAACACACAATGTATCAAACATATGACTTCACTGGTCATTCCATACAACATTGACAAGTGCTTTCCAGAAACATCTGCTAGAGTCAATATAATTGCGTCTTATGAATTAGCATGTTAACCATTTATGCATCTATTAAAACATAAGGAGTTAATATTAGAAAACAAAGACCTAAATATTTTTCTGCCATCATTACTTAGTTTCTAAGAATCAAATTAGTATTCTCTTTCAGTTGCATTGGAATGTTTTATTTCAAAATACCTATTTCAGTTGCATAACAATACTTTAAAATTTTTAAATTTAAATTTGAAACAAGCTTGTTTTACATGTCAATCCCAGTTCCTGCACCATCCCATCCTCCCCTGTTCCCTTCACCAACCCCAATCCCATCTCCTTTCTGATCCTCAGGGAGCAGAGTTCCATGAGGAGTCTGCAAAATCTGTCATATATTTGGAGCAGGGCTAGGTCCTCCCCCATGTGTCTAAGCTGACAGAGTATCCCTCTCTGTGGAATGGGCTCCCAAAGTCTATTTTTTATACTAGGGATAAATACTGATCCATTACTAGAGGTCCCATAGACTGCCCAGTCCTCCTGACTAACACTCACATTCAGGGGGTCTGGGTTTTCCCAACTGTCAGAATGGAGTCCATGAGCTCCCCCCTGGTTCAGGTCAGCAGTTAGTATGGATTTCTCCAGCCTGGTCTTGACCCCATTGCTCATCCATCACTCCTCCCTCTCTGCAACAGGATTCCAGGAGTTTGGCTCAGTGTTTAGCTGTGGCTGTCTGCTTCTGCTTCCATCAGTTACTACATGAAGGCTCTAGGATGGCATATAAGGTAGTCATCCATCTCCTTATAGCAGCAGGGTATTTAAGGTGGCCTCTCCACTATTGCTTAGATTGTTAGTTGGGTTCATCCTTGTAGATCTCTGGACTACAGTGCCAGCTTTCTCTTAAAACCTATAATGGCTCCCTCTATTATGATATCTCTTTTCTTGCTCTTTGCCTGACTCAATCTTCCTGCTCCCTCTTGCCCACCTCTCCCCTCCTCTTCCTCCTAACTCATAACTCCCTTTCGCCTCCCCCCATTATCGCAATTTGCTTAGGAGATTTCCCCCTTCTCCAGAGGACCATGTATGTCTCTCTTTAGGTCCTCCTTGTTTCCTAGCTTTTCTGGCAGTGTGGATTGTAGGCTGGTAATCCTTTGTTTTATGTCTAAAAACCATATATGAGTGAGTACACACCATGTTTGTCTTTTTGTGACCTCCGAATGGTTTCTTTTAGTTCCATCCATTTGCCTTCACATTTCAAGATCCCTTTTTTTTTTTTTTTTTTTTTTTTTGGCTGAGTAGTACTCTATTTTGTAAATGTGCCTGCCACATTTTCTCTATCCATTCTTCAGTTGAGGGGCAATTAGGTTGTTTCCAGGTTCTGGC